CCAGTTTGAGTGTTCTTCTCCTTTAATTGTAATCTTTAGTTAGTAATCTTCTAGTTCCCTCTAGTGTTCAATTTTTAAATTCTTATTATTTTTTTTTTAAGAGTTCAAACAAAAGCATTTTCCCATTGGAAGGGTTCTTTATAATTAATTCCAAAATCTTATTTCAAATTTATCTGAACCCTTAATCTATTTGTAACTTTCTAAAATCAAAGTTTTAATCACCCTTTTGCTGTTTAGCCCACCCACCCCCCGCCCAAAATTTAAGTCCTTAAACTTGTATTTAAAACTTTGTTCGCTAAGGATTGAAGGAAACTCACCTGGTGCTGTAAAACTAGTTGATCCAAAGGTTCCTAAGAGCTAAAAAGCAGTTAACAAGCAATTTCTGGAAGTGATTAGAGAAGGAAGTATGCAAACCCAGTGTCCTTAAAAGCACCAACTGTGGTTTGAGCAAGATGGCTATTCATCATCTCCCAGAACTCTAATCCTGCCAGAGACCACTGTCTTGTGGTCTCCTTGTTGAGGGGCTACTGCCTGGAGCACTTGTGAACAATCTCAAGTCCTCTCCTTGACTGTAGAAGAATTAAGAAGAGCTGGTCTACTTGCTAGCTCTTCATTCTTCTTCTGCCGTGGTCGTCAGCTCTATTTTTCGTAAAGCCATCTTCAGTTCACCATTTCTTCCCTGGCAGTCCAGGATTTCTTAATTTTGTCAGTTTGACAAATTGAAAAAAATAAAGTTGAAGACGGAAGAAACCATTAACATGATAATAAAACAGAGTTCTATCCTTCGAGACCTAGTCAAGAGCAGATCCACTGACCTCTAGGTAAAGACTCAGCAATAGACAAGCTCACAAGCAAAGCAGGTGCCAAATCCTCCTTCCTTCTGATGAAAATGACAGTGCTCCCTAGTGGCTGAAATGCATTTTGTATTTGCACTTGAAAGTTGTACTGCATTGCTTGTGCTCTGTGTATAAGAAGTGTAGTATTCCGCTACTTGAAAAAAATGTCTTCTAATTACCAAAAAAACATTTTGGGGAAATAAATGATACCAGTATGTGAACAACTTGTCTTATTGCATTTATTATTCAAAAATAGTTCCTTAGATTTTTTTAAAGAACTATTGCCAAAATGTTTTGATTTTTCCAATTATTTTACAGAAAAAGGGCCTGGGGAAAAAAATAAACCATCTTCCCTCCTATTTTTTTCATTCTTCTTCCCAAGCCTTCATATTTCTACCTCTACCAGCAAGTAGCTAATTGAATTGTTATATGCAAAAGTATAGTAGCATTAAAAAAATCCTTTTAAAAAAGAGATTGCCTTCTTTTAAAAAAAATAAAATAAAAAGAGAAGGAAAATCTGTTTTGAAAATAAAGTATTGGGAGTAAAAAAGCAAAAGTGGAAAAGAGTGCCAGATATAATTCTGTAATTTCATCAGTCGAGGAAGCTATTGAGAAAAATCTGAAGTGGTAAAAAGGCAAGCAATGAAAGATTAAGTACTTATATACACCCTGCCATTTATTTTGCTGTTCAGATATTTCAAGGTAAGCAACCTCTTGTGCAGCTTATTGTCTCTGTAACAGTTTGTATGTACACATGACAAGGGAAAGGAAAATCTAGGTAAAGCTATGTAAGGCATTGTGTGATTTTATACAGAAAATAATGACACCTGGATGCCATGTAAAATTCTGTGCACAATAAAAGCTTCATTTGGAATAATTCTTAACCAGCTTTCCTTTAGAATGATTTAAAACGTTTTTTTTTTAAGTTTTTTTTCTGGCACTGGTGTAGTGGTAGTCTCAGATACAAGGGAGGACATATGGCCTGGGTAGTAGTACCAAGTTCAGAAAATTAATACTAACTCCACAGTGCATTTCTGAATCCATGATGTCAGGAGACAGTATGACTTTAGTGGTACTTTTGGTGAGTTGACTTAAAAAAGCAAACAAATTATGACCCCAAATAAGGAGGATCATTTGGTCACAAGCCTTGTTGTAGACTAATGGAAGATAGATCAAATTCAAACATAGTACAGGAAGTCCTTGTTTAGTGACCACAATTAGGACCCACAACTTGGTCATTAAGCGAAGTGGTTGCTAAGTGAAAATCACGTGACTGCAACTGCGCTTACGATTTTACTTCAGGTTTCCTTTGCTGCTTGTTACTTCCTTCAGCTGAACTGGGGTTCTTTCTCTTTCTCTTTCTCTTTCTCTTTCTCTTTCTCTTTGAGGACATCTTAGTATGGGGTAAATAAGCAAATGAAAATAAGAGCAGAGAGACTCTGTGAAGGTTGTAAATGTGAGGACTGGTTGCTAAGTGTTTTTTAGCACCATCATAACTTCAAAATGTCACTGAATCAGGCAGTTGCTAAGCAAGGGCCACCTGTAGTTTTATATAATATTGTGCCATACACACACACAGACACATGCACACACACATAAACATGTATCTACTATATGTATGGATGTGTATATCAACACAATATATAGGTTTCATGTTCACTCTGTTCTGTTTCTCTTTTAGTAATGAATGGTGAACTAACAGGAGGTGCTTTCAGAAATGGACGAAGGACATGTCTTCCAGCACCCTGCCCTGATACTAGTAATATTAATCTGTGGAACATTTTGAGAAATAATATTGGGAAAGACCTTTCCAAAGTATCAATGCCTGTAGAGCTTAATGAGCCTTTGAATACTTTGCAACGCCTTTGCGAGGAACTGGAATACAGTGAACTTTTGGACAAGGCTGCTGAAACTGATGACCCCTATGAACGTATGGTAATGGGCCTGATTATGGAACATGTAATGTTGTTCCATAATGTGTTCATTCTCTCTTAGACCTCTGATACTATGCATTCTCTAAAAGGAGTGATGCTGACACAAGAAGGGCCTCAAGTTTGCACAGAATGATCATTTGTTTGCCTATAAAAATATATTCTTTGTAATATATTTAAGAATTCCAAGATGGTCTCTCCATCTCTCTATGACTCTTTTCTGTGTGAGACATATACAGATATGTTCTGACAGAAAGAGGGTTTGGGGAATTTTTATATTGCAAAGTCTTGCCCAAATATCTTTCGTTACATTGCCCAGAGTTGTGTTCTGTGAGATGGGCGGCTATATAAATATGATATATAAATAAGTAAATAAAAATAAAATTATGGTTTGCATAGGAAAAACTCCTGGTGTACAGTCTCCATTATATTTATTTATATACATGAATGGTGTTCTGTTTTCTTTGTCTGGGAAATATATCCAAATTATTGTTAGTTGAGTCTCAAAAGTCCTTTAACTATGATATATCTTCAAAGGGTAAGAAATACTCTTATTCTTTTTTTTTAATGATGCAGGATACATCCACTATTTTTTTCCTATTATAATACTGCCTTTAGAAAAGTAATTGTAGATTTTTTCCTAGCAGCCTTCTTTTTTTTTTTAAAGTGGTTAAATATCAACATGGGAGACATTCACTTAGGAAAGTTTATGTTTCTGATCTGGAAATACAAGGAATATAGTTACCTCACTATATTCCTTCCATGACACAATATGTATGAATGAATGGTTTACTACAGTCAACAACCACATTTTTCTCCATAAAATGATCTGTCGTCCCTTCTCGTATCTGTACAGTTAGATCAGACCCTTAGACCCAAACAATCTATTAAGTATCCAGTTTGGGACATCTTTTTGGAGCTTCTGATTCCCATGCAGCTGAGAAGAGAACTTTGGAACATAAACATGATTTAGATTTGGACAATTGGGTTGTTTTCGAAGCAAGTATGGTATTTTATACAATGATCCTGTTTGGAAGAAACAGAAAGCATTGCTTGCATATAGACTGAAGCAAAAACTTCCAAAGCCCTCCCTCCCTTCTGGTTTGTGTCATCTTGTGCAGCTCATAAGAAGCTGTGATTCCCCATAACAAATAAATGTGGCCACTGTATTTTCCTCAGGTGCAGAATCCCATAGATCGTCGTAGCATTCCCCCTTTTTTTTTCACAGAACTTATCTTTGTAACTGTTATTATTGCATTATATATTACATTATACATAAACAAACAGCCTGGGCTCAGTGTCCATCCTATCTCCCCTTTAAGTCTTCAAGATATATAAAATGCTTACATTTTTCTTTCCTGCATTTGAAAGCATTTGAGTCTAACTATAGGGCATTAGCCCTGGATTTCTTTCTGTTTGGATTTAGATCTCCCTGTTCACTTCCACTTTGGAAGCAAATGAGAACTTAACAAACCATTTAAGAACATAAAAATATAAAACTGTTGCTGAAAATGACAGGACAAAGGTGCATTTATCCCCTAGAAAAGAACATGTTTGTGTATGCAGTTGCTACATGTCTCAGGCTAGTATCCTTCAGAACTGTTTTCTTAAATACTGTTTTGTTGTTCCAATTAGGTCCTTATTGCTGCCTTTGCAACTTCAGGATATGCTTCCACTTACTACAGAGCAGGAAGCAAGCCTTTTAACCCTGTGCTTGGTGAGACTTATGAGTGTATCAGGGAAGACAAAGGATTTCGATTTTTCTCGGAGCAGGTAAGATCTGTTCTAATACTGTATGTCTTTAGTTTCTGGGTAGATGGAGAGTTATTTAAAACATTTCATCTTGCTTTATGAAATGTTGATATGACCCTCAGATTTGTTTTAGAACTATATTTGTTTTTGAAGCATTAGGTAAAATTCAACATTGTAGAATTCAGCTTTGCATTCATATTCTTCACATAGTTGCGTAGAACTTTTCATTCGTATATTGTCAGAGCGATGATGAACATGAAAACCTTTTGTATTTTTTGTACAATTACTTGTATTAATTTTTTTTTCCAGGTTAGTCACCACCCACCCATTTCTGCCTGTCACTGTGAATCAAAGAATTTTGTGTTTTGGCAAGGTATATATTTTAGTTACAAGTAGAAGAATCAAATTTCAATTGGAAAAAAAAAAGAAAATGAACTTTTATACATTTCTGTTTTTGAATTTTAGTTAAACAGTTACAATAATCGCAAAGGCCAGTTTTTTTTTCTAATTACATATTTGACACAGAGAAATTAGAAATCAAGAGTTTTCTGCCTCTGGAATAGCATATTGCTCTGTTTAGAACAAGACGTATTAGTTCACATGATATGTAAGATAAATACGTATAGCATTTTGCATCTTTATAAAAAATTGTTCTATTGTTCAGATATTAGATGGAAAAACAAATTCTGGGGGAAATCAATGGAAATATTGCCAATTGGAACTCTGAATGTGACACTTCCTAAGTAAGTATCTTTATTCTGCATCCCTTTTTCATTATTAAACAACAAGTTATTGTTTAACCTGACAGATATGAAATCAGAAAAAGTGCAGAGCAGAATAGGATCAGTTTTTAGGTAGCAATAAGAAAGCTGGGATCCCTGAAGAGCCAGAACTCAGTGTCCTAACTATAACTATTGAGATGAGTTCTGTTTGAGCAATTCATGGTCACTTCTTTCGATCTTTATGAATGGTTGCTTGGCATAACTCAAGAGAACATTTTTCAAAGAGAATGAAAACACTCAGATTTCCCTGTGCTATTTTCCTTAAAAAGGTAAATATATTTTAGTAATTGAAAATGAAGTATGCCCTTGTACAAACTCAGCATGGGAAAGTGGAGGAAACCTAGTGTACTTTTTCAGCCTTACTATTCTTTAGTATGCTTATCCTGAAGCATTGTTGCAGATGATCAGCTGATGCCAGCATGTTCTAAATCGGCTTGCTTCACACAGAACTAATGCAATGTGCAAACAGAACAATACATTTCTCAGCAAACATGCAACCTATGTGTAATTTTAGACAACTGAAATTTTATTTTTTTTAATTTATTCATTAGATTTGTATCTTGCCTTTTGTTCAGGAACTCAAAAGAGACCCCACCTCCTTTTTTTCTACAACCTTGGGAGATAGGTTGGGCTGAGAGAAAGTGGCCTCAAGTCATTCAGTGAGCTTCTGCAGCTTAGAGCGGGCTAGAATCTGAAGCTCTCTGATGACATATTATGGCTATGTGGTTAAAGTACTTTAACCACTTTACAACACTAGCTGTTTTTGTCTCAGTCTAATCTGTCTCAGTGGCTTACATTAGCTTCTTCCAGAAGTATCTCTTGTCTTGCCTGTGAGCAACAGAATGATCAAAGACACAATAATTGGAGTGATAATTGCAAGTGGGTATATTCATGTTAACCAGTTTTTGTGGTTAACTCTCTTGTGAACATAAGCATAGCCTTTGGAGGAGTAAACAAGTTTTTTTAAATTCTGTTATGTGGGTGTTAGTGCCACCATTGTAAAACATCAGAAGTATTACCCTGCAAAGCATGATTTCAGAAAAATGTTTGACGGTCTAAATTGGATTATCAGTTTAAATGATGTAATGTTGCACAGAGAAAGTGGAGCTTTCTGTGGAGCAAGAAGACTTCAGCAGAAGTACTCACCCTTCAGTATATAGAGACCCAAACATCTGAAGGACAAGCTTTTGGAATCTGCCAGAGGGGATGTGTTCTTATGATTTGCATCCCAGACTGAGATGACTTTCCAAACACATTTGTCAGGCATGCTCTTTGCTGTGTTTAAGTCTTATTATTCATCCAGATTTTTTTGAGCTTTAGGAAGCAGTGTCGATATGATTGCTGTTGGATATAGACCCATGTTCAACTAATGTGGTTTTATCATGCTTTTTATGGTGATGTAAAAATTGATTGTAAAAAATTGTGGAGGGACATAAAGGTGGAGAAAAGATAGAATATAAATGTTTAAGTAAGTGAGTGGGGAGGTGCACTTTTTCCTTTTTTATGAGTTGTTTTCAGTATTGGAAAGGTAATAAAATTTATTTGCACGTGAACAGGGAATGATTTAGAAAAGGTAATTCTGAAGCATATTACTCCTTCTTTCTAGGTATGGTGATTGCTATGTTTGGAACAAAGTCACTACTTGCATACACAACATCCTGAGTGGAAGGAGATGGATAGAGCATTATGGAGAAATAACAATCAGAAATACAAAAAGCAGTGTCTGTATTTGTAAGCTCACATTTGTCAAGGTAGTTTTTCTGTGATCATCAGCGTGAACAATGAAGGGGCTATGCATACTGCCAATGGCCTATTCACAGGGGTGTCTGGAAATACACTGAGTAGTACACTAGCTTTTACGGACTTATGTTTCAGTGGGGAGAATAATGAATGGTCATATCCATTAGCTGCCGGAAATCATGTAAACTGTAGTGGCGATATTCCTATATATTCTTATTGGATGCCATGATTAATACAATCAGTGCCTTTATGCATGTGCACTGATGCAAATCTATAAATACCCTGTATAGCTCTGTGGTTTACAATGACCTATAATAGAACTTTCAGTGTGTAAAACTGTACTGTTCTGCATCGTTTTATTTAAGGTCTCTTAACAACAACAACAACAACAACAATTTATTAAATCTATATGCTGCCTGACTCCCAACGATTCTGGGTAATAATACCATGAACCTGGAAGTGGCTCCTAGTTGTATGAACCAGTTCTAAATGTCAGTGAAAGAATTGCAAGAAGTTTAACTGGAAATCTTTTTCTGTTAACTTTTGATCTTCAATCCTTTCCCATAAATAAATAACCTGTATTTAAGCAGAATAGTTATAAAAACAGGGGACAAGCCCAATCTTAGATGAATCTTCCCCTTTTTTCTATCTGTCACTCAAAATGATCTTTCTAGGATGGGTGGGAACTTCTGACTTTCCACATGGATCTATGGAAGCCAGTATTAGCAATATTTAAAAGAGTAAAGATTCCCTGTCTTCATCATAAGATGCTGTGAGATGCATATGCATTATCTAAAATACCTGGTATTTCCTTTAATAGTTTTATTCCTGTGCAGGTTGATGTAGATGTGATCTGTTAATTTACTGTCAATGGTGCAATTAATCAATTAAGATTTCTTTTAACTAGGTCCCAACCCTGCTGGAGTTTCTGGGCCTTGACAGTTAGGTGCATGTGCAGATAATTAAAAAAAAAAATAGAAAAAGCAGTTGTGACTGGATTCCCAGCCAGAAATACTGTTTTCTTTTTGAGCCCCAGACAAACGTTTTAGAAGGAAGAAATCTGACCTACAAAATGCTTTCCCTTGTCAAGAAGAGTAAAGTACAGTGGTACCTCTAGTTACGAACTTAATCCGTTCCGTGACTCTGGCTGCAACTCGAGTTGGTCTCAAGTCGAGGTAA